AGAATGAATCTGGGAGAATTCCATCTTTTTTCTATATTCTGAAATAGTTTATGTAGAATTGATGACAGTTCTTCTCTGAATGTATGATAAAATTCGCTTGTAAAACCATCTGGTCCAGGGCTTTTTTTGGTTGGAAGTTGTTTTTCCTTTTCAGTTTCTTCTTCTGTAATGCTTCTGTTCAGCTGTTCAATTTTGGTTTGTGTCAGTTTAGGTAGGTTGTGCATTTCTTTGTCCATTTCCTCTAGGTTTTCATGTTTGTTTGAATATAGTTTTTTCATAATACTCTAATGTTAGCTTTCTTATTTTGGTTGGTTCTATAATGATGTTGCCTGATTCATCTCTTATTTGGACTCTGTCTTTTCCTCCTTTTCTTTTGTGAGTTTTGCTAGTGATTTGTTGATTTTACTGACCTTTTCAAAGAACTAACTCCTAGTATTGTTGATAGTTTCAATTGTTTTTTGGTTTTCTATTTCATTTATCTCTCCTCTAATTTTTATAATTTCAGGTTTTTTAGAGGGTGTCAGGTTTTCTTGCTGTTCTTTTTCAGTTTGCTGGAGATGATGGGTTAGAGAGTCAGTGGTCAGTTTTTTCTGCCTTTTGGTGTGTTTGCTTATTGCTATAAATTGACCTCTGATTACTGCTTTGGCTGTTTCCCAGAGGTTTTGATAAGTAGTGTTTTCATTGTCATTTGTTTCAAAAAACTTTTTATTTTCATTTTTTATTTGTTTTTGTACCCAGTCATGTTCAAGCAAGTTGTTGTTCAGCTTCCAAATGTATACTTTTTCCCTCCTTTATTCTCTTGTTATTAATTTCTAATTTTGTGGCATTGTGGTCTGAGAAGGTACTTTGTATAATTTCTGTGTTTTTTAATTTGTTGATGCTTGCCTTGTGACCTAACCTAGAATGTGATCTGTTCTGGAGAATGTTCCATGCACATTGGAAAGGAAGGTATATTGTGCTTGTCCAGGGTGCATTAGCCTATAAATATCTATGAGATTGATTTGGTTTATTGTGTGGTTTAATTCTTGAGAGTCTTTGTTGAGATTCTTTTTGGTAGTTCTATCTTTTCTTGAGAGGGGTGTATTGAAGTCTCCAAGTACTATAGTAGTGTTGTCTATTTCCTTTTTAAGTTTTGTTATTGTGTATTTTATATATTTTGCAGGTCTTTCATTTGGTGCAGAGATATTAAATATTGTCTTACCCTCTTGTTCTATTGACACTTTGAGCTTTATGGAGTGACCTTTGTTTTTTGTGATGGTTTTTGCATTGTAATTTATTTTATCAGAGATTAGCCTCACTACTCCTGCCCTTTTTTTGGTTGCCATTTGCTTAATATATTTTTCCCCATCCTTTTAGTCTTTATCTTCATTTTTCAGTTGTGTCTCTTGTAGACAACATATTATTTATGGATTTTGGTTTTTTATCCAATCTGCTACTCTTTTTCTCTTCAGTGGTGCATTTAGACCATTCACATTCAGTGTCATTATTGAGAGGTAATGTTTTATTGCTATCATTTTGTTCAGTTCTTTTTGGCGTTTTTGCTAGTTACTTTAGTCCATCCTGTTTTCTGTGCCATCTCTGTATGAAGGACGTCTGTCAGTGTTTCCTGTAAGGCTGGTCTTGTTTTTATAAACTCCCTTAG